GTTGTTATTGAAATCAATGAAGGAGACCATGTTCTTCCTATCTTCACAGGAAAATGCAAGGAAAATGTGCTTTGTATTGATCTGACCGTTGTTGATCTTGTGGTGGCAAGAGGTGCAAGAATTGGAATACAAGTATTTCATTTGATTATGCTACATTTAAGCAATTGAAGATTGGTAGGAAACTTGACACCGGGTGGAAATATCCAGACCGATTTAGCCAACCAAACCCACCTCCTTATGGTGGCCAATCGGATCTCTTTCTACAAGCTCAAAGTTCCCTCCTACCCCGGTAGAATGACGCAGGAGCGTCCATATAATAAAATTGTATTTTCTTGTTAGTGATTGGTGTAGCTCTATTTCTTGTGTAGCCTATTATGTGACTACCTGAAGTCTATAAATATAGGCTAATGTCTTGTAATAAAGATAGATTTTGAGATATGAATATGATGTGAGTTTAGTCTCATGTGTTTACTGTATCCTAAGAGTGATTCTTAGGTGGTGGATCTTTCCTCCAAGAAGTTCTTGGAGCGGTGTCCGGCGACTGTCACCGGATTCTCGACGTGGATTCGTCGAGCCCCCTACCTGGCCGGTGTTAACTTTCGTAGAACATGAAAAGGCCCAAATTTCTTCCTGTTTAATTTTACAAAAGTACCAACAAGAAATCGTTGGCGACGAAAGTAAGCCATAACCAAATCTCCCTCCTCAAAATAAACTTCCCTCTGATATTTGTCAGCAGCAGATTTGTATTTAACATTAGCAATTCGAAGTTTTTCAAGGACTTGTTGTAGGACAATTTTGATATGATCAAAAGTTTCAGAAGCTTCAGCACTAACTTTATTAGGCAAAGGCAAATAATTTCTATCTAAAATGTGAGGTACAGGGCCTATAGGCTGACCATAAATAATCTCAAATGGAGTTTTACCAGTGGAGCGAATAAGAAAATTATTGTATGCAAACTCAGATTAGGGCAATATCAAATCCCATTGAGATGATTTTTATCCAGCAAGGCATCTTAGTAAATTCCCTAAGCTTCGATTGACAACTTCAGTTTGCCCATCGATTTGTTGATTATATGCACTACTAAATTGAAGAGTAGTTCCTAATTTTGCCCAAAATGTTCTCCAAAAATGACTCAAAAATCTAGTCTCCCTAACATAAGTAAATGTGTGAGGAATATCATGAAGACGAACAATTTCTTTAAAAACAAATCAGCAATATATGAAGCATCAGAAGTTTTCTTACATGGAATAAAGTGTGTCATTTTGCTAAATTGGTCCACAACAACAAAAACAGAATCAAACTTTCTAGTAGTAACAGGCAACCCCAAAACAAAATCAATGGAGATATCCTCCCAAGGCTTATTTGGAATAGGAAGAGGAGTATATAAACCAGTATTTTGCGAAGTTCCCTTAAAAGCTTGACAGATTTTATATTGTTTTATCAGCTTATAATTTGCTTTCTCATATGAGGCCAGAAATATTTTTCCTCAACCAAAGCAACAGTTTTTCCTTGCCCAAAATGTCCACCCAAACCCCCACTATGAAGTTCTTGCACAAGTTATTCTCTTAAAGAATTTTTTGTTGCATCATATGTTGCCAATCCCCTTGATTATCAGTCATTTTTTTATTTTCTAAAGAAAGACTCACACCAACCAAGGATTTGCTAACTCGCTCTAATACCAAACTTGATGCAGGCAAACTTGAAAGAAAAGTCAAATAAGAGAACAATAGGACAAATGAAAACCAACTCGATTTAATCTAAATTGCAAACATCCAAACAAACATCAAAACAAACGAAAAGCCGAATCAAATGAAACAAAATTATAAAATAAAAATATTATCCTCAGAACAACTGACAAGCGGTTTCCTCACATGCAACAAGAGTAGGAAAAATATGATAAAGTGCTTAGGCTTGAAAACTAAGGGCCCACCACAGTAAAAAGGGTCCAACGTCCAACCAAACTCCTCCGGCAAATGTCTCCAAATCAGCCAACAAATGTCTTCCAATAGCTCAAGAAGAATGATACAAGTGGAGTGGAACTTGCGAAGAGAGGAAAAGATTAGAAGCCAAGACGAAATAGAGAGGAGGAAGAGGTGGAACAAGCTCTCAAGCTTTTCCAAGAGAAAAAAACCCTCGGGTTTTTAGCAATTTATCTCAAGTTAATCAACAACCTCTTCGTGACAAAAACACCTCATATTTATAGAAGAAAAAGGGGAGTCAAACAGTCAACTTCCACCTCCAACCGAACCAATCAGGTCAGGGGAAGAGGAAGACCAGCAGGCAACATAAAACAATTCCCAAAAGACAGCACAAGAACCGGGTAGAGGAAGCCACGGAAAAACAATCAGGGAAGAAATCGAAAAGCCGACACAGAAACTGGGTAGAGGCTGCCACGGGAAAGCAGCCATGGAGGAATCCGAGAAGTCAACCCAGGGAATCGGAACCAGCACCCAGCAACCAGTCACGAGAACATCACAATGGAAACAAACGAGGAGACACAAGAAGGGGAAGAGGCAAGCTCCAACTCCACATAATGAGCTAAAAAAATAATACCTTTTTCAAATTTATGAGCTAAATAGTGTAATTACTTCTCCAAATAATGCGCTAAACATCAGCTCAAACATTAATGAGCTAGCACTAAGAAGATCCCAAGTTTTCAGCTCAAAACCAAAGCAGCCAAAGCCCAACCCGAGAGCAACCAAGGCCCAAACCGAGAGGCAGCAAGCAGCCCAAAGAACCAAAGGACCCAAAATGCTAGCAAACCCAAGACTTGCCATGTCCAAGCATATCCTACCATGATCATTGGATGTTCTCCATCATTGGATAGCATAAAGAAAAACATAAAACACAACTATAATATTCAAATTACATCAAAACAAATAGCCAAAATATGAATATGCATCAATCCTTCCATAAATTCTCACTTTCACATAAAAAATTTTTGGGTACACTAAATGATTTTCATATTTCTAATGATATTTCTGAGGTCTTATGTAATGAAAATTAAAAAAGTGCAATGAAATATGAAATATAGGTCATAGAGAAGAACGATACATGAAAGATCACCGACCTACCAATAGGAAAAAAACCAGTCGGCAGCGATAGGGTATTCTCTGTGAAATACAAAACTGATGGTACATTGAAAAGGTATAAGGCATGACTGGTGGCGAAAGGATACACTCATATGTATGGCATGGACAACCAAGAAACTTTTGCACTGGTGACCGAGATGAACACCGTGAGGATCCTCCTCTCACTAGCAGCTAATTACAACTGGCATCTGGAACAGTTAGATGTCAAAAATGCATTCTTATATGGGAACTTGGAGGAAGAAATATTTATGGAGATTTCATTAGGATTCAAGAAGAAATCTGAGGGAAACAAAGTGGGCAGGTTAAAAAAGACTATATCGGCTAAAGAAGTTACTTAGAGTTTTGTTTGGAAGATTTTCAAAAGTTATGCTACTTAATGGTTATCGACAGAGCCAAGAGGACCATACATTATTCTTCAAGCACTTAGACTCAAGGGAAGTCACAATTCTATTAGTTTATGTAGATGATATCATCTTGCCTGGAAATGATGAAAACAAGAAAGTGATTTTAAAGAAATGTCTTGCCAAGAAATTTGAGATCAAAGATCTTGATAGATTAAAATATTTTCTTGGAATTAAAGTGGCCCACTCCAACAAAGAAATCTTTCATAACAAAAATACATTAATGATCTTCTTAAAGAAAAAGACAAACTAGCTTGTAAACCAGCACCAACACCAGTAGAACTAAATCTCAACTTGAGGAAAGCTAAAGAAGATCCAAATATAGATAAAGGATCTTTCTAGAGACTTATAAGCATGATCAGCCAGTTCATGCAAAATCTAAAACAGACTCACATGCAAGTTGTAGTCAAATTACTACACTATCTTAAGGGAAACCCAGGTAAAGGGACTTCAGAAGAGACTGTGGAATCATCCCATAAGCATATATTGATGTAGATTACGCAGGATCACCAGTAGATAGACGATCTACCTCAAGATACTGCACATTCTTTGAAGGAAACCTTGTTACATGGAGGAGTACAAAACAGAAAGCGATAGCAAGGTCTAATACATAAGCAAAATAAAAAGCTATGGCCTTGGGAATATGTGAGCTACTATGAATCAAATGGATCAAAATGATTCTAGAAGATCAAAGGATTAAGTGGGAATGAACCAATGAAGCTACACTATGACAAGAAATCAACAATCATCATAGCTCATAATCCGGTGCAGCATGAAAAGACCAAGCACATAGAAGTTGAAAGACATTTCATAAATGAGAAATTAAATAGTGGTCTTATATGTATCGATCATGTCTCATCAAAAGATTAGCTTGCAGATATTCTTACGAAGGGATTCGATAACTCTATCTTTCTGGGACTGATTACCAAGCTGGGAACGACAGATTTGTATTCCTCAGCTTGAGAGGGAGTGTTAAATCCAAGCCATCCCTTGGCATTTTGATCCCACGGCTAGAATGGGAATCCTTGGGAGGCTCACCTATTAAATCTCAAACGTCTCTTGGCATATTGATCCCACGGCTAGGATGGGAATCTGTTCCCATTCGTGGGAGGCTCACCTGTTAAATCCCACCCGTCCCTTGCCATTTTAATCCCACGACTAGGAAGGGAATCCGTGGGAGGCTCAACTAGATCGTGCCGATCTCAACTGTTGGATTATATTAGAGCAATTATGCATGATTTTGTAATTATTTGTTTCTTTATTAAGATATCTTGTATAGATCTATAAATAAGGATAGTTTTGTGCAATAAAATGAAGCATTTTTCCTCTCCAATTCTCTGAATAACACATTCCAACAGTTGAGAGGGATCGATCATGTGGAACTTAACCCTCATTGAGAACAGAAAAATAGAATTAAAGAGTACTAGTCTTACCAAAATAACATAACATGAACTTGTGGAAACTATTACAAACAGTTATTATCTTGCTGGCTACCGAGAAAGCTCACCGTATCTTTCCTGAAACTCAGGAGTACCCTGTAAAAATTCCAATCCTGGATGAGTTGCCAAAAGTTCTCTGAGTACAGGTTTGAAGTCCTCCTGTCCAATTCATTTTAACCCACTCAGAAATAGAAAAGTAAGACCATGTAGCAGCAAGTTCTTAAACAACTTGCTGAACTGAAGAGTAAGAAGTAGAAACAAAGGATTGATATGTATAAAAACGCTAATAAGAAGATCCTTTGTGGTAAGAGCTAAAATTTTCCAGATGAAAATGTTTCCCAAAAAAAAAGATGATTAAAGGTAAAAAAATTGACCTGAATAAGGTACTTGCGATCCGAAGGCTTCAAAATATTAAATATTTGAGTTGCCGTATCCATAGTCATCATATTGCTATTCACCCAATAATTAACAAATGCATCCCTATCATCATACCAAAGTCGAACTTGCAAATTAGAGATCATATAGATTAAAGAACAAACAAAATAACTTGTGTTTACAGTAACATAATTTCAATAAAAAACGCATTCACAGGCACTAATTCTATCAGCCACCAAAAAGAAATTAAAAAAAACATGAACAACAATAAGATTTATCCTCACAGCTTCTCCATTCCTAAATATTTAGGGTAAGTCTGATGGTGATGAATGATTAGCTAAAAATAATATATAGAACATAAATTGATGTAAAGACTGGCAAACAAAGATGAGTTCAACCCACTGCAGTTTACGCTAGATAAAATAAACGAGTTAAGAACTCTCCTACATAAAACAACAAGCAGTTATGGAAAGGAAACTCCCATATAGTTGATATTACTACAAAAATCATTATACTAAATACCTCTTAGAAATTTAGGGTAAAAGAAGATTGCACACCTATTTACAGTTCCAGCACATTCTGCGTCAATCTTTCTGAAAAGAACACTAGAAAAGAATGACGGCAGCTTGCAGATTTCTTTTGTAACAGACTTGAACTCTGATGTCATTTAAGAAAATTAGTTCACTACTTGACCTGCAATTCAATGTGAAAAACAAAATAATAAAATTGGAATGTCATATACCATGAATTTGCAATCCATCCAACTTGCCGGAGAAAATCTGAGCAATTCTTTCTAAGCACTGGTCTTTTAGTTCTTTTGGGGGCGGCTGTCCATTCTGAAAGTAGAACTGTCCACACATGCAATGAAACGTTGAAACAGTATGAAAGGTGAAATAAAAATATTCATATGAGCTAAATGCCCTTTAACTCTTACGAAAGGAAGAAAGTGATTTTACAATAAAGGCATAGGCTCTATTTGGAAGGAATGAAAGTTAAAGAAATAAAATGAAATACAAGCAATTTATGGGTTTAAGCATGAATAAGCAGTGATTCATTTGAGATCTTCATCTTCTTTTTTTTCATTTCCTTTCACTCAAACTCTCAGCATCCAAACAGAGCAAGAGAAAAAAGGTGAGAAGAAATTTCATACCTGAGGGATGACTTCTTTGGCTGGCTCTCTAACTATTTTTAATGGAGATCCCAGAGACGATGGCCCCGCAGGTGAACCTCGTTTCATGAAACGAGGAGATCCAGAGCTGCTTCTAGGGGAAAGAGGTGGTACACTGCCAGCAGGGAACATAGAAGGCAATGCATTGCTAGTAGCAATATTTGCACCACCAGTGATGCTAGAAACATTCAATGGCAATCCAGCCTTTGCATCTTCAATTAAAGATTTAACCTATAAGCCAAGATATACATTTCAGAATAAGTTGAAAAACAATAAGATCAGGTCTTCAGATCAAATGAAGGCAACCAAAAAAGGAAAAGAACAATTCATGCAACAATGTACTAGTGATAGGGATAAATGGAGGGTAAGGGTGCAATAAGCAAAACATGAATAGAAGTGGGTTTTATTTGATTCAATTTGTTAACCATAAATCCGAAACAAACCTAGCAAGTTCATTAAAGATAAACTTGTTCAACCTCGGCTAGTTTTATTATCAAGTTGAACATGAGCAAACACAAACGGCAAGCCAAGTCAATAACTTTCTAAGATTTTAATTAAAATTCCCATATCTTCAGATCCATCATTTTTTCTTAAATTTATGGCTTTGATTGAATAAAAAGGTCAATTAATTGTGATTTCATAATATGGTTTTTAACTGCCATGGAGCATACAGCATGCATCGTTCATGATGTTTGGATTGTATATTTACTGGTTTTTAATGGTAAAATGAACAAGTAAAATAAAATTTAAGTACATAAATATACATTCATGCATATCAAAAAATTAAGTTATCATCAATAAAAATATACTCAAGTAGCTTTTGTTTGAAATTAGCTCATTTAGTAAAGGAGTCAAGAAATTACGTTCAAGCTAATTTATGAGCTTAAAAATTGAGTTGCTCTCGAACTTAGAGCCTTTTTTACGGCCCTAAGAGTGAGTTATGCTCAGCTTTAAGCTTCCTTTGAAAGATGTCATGAGCAAAGAATTGGGATAACATGTATCTTCTACAGAGGAAGCTTGCTAATTCTTAAGTACAGGGAAGTTATTCTACGCACATTTAAGGAAAGTCAAGGGATAATAGCAAAACATGCCAGGTAGGGCTTCCAACTATAACTTTCATAGCCAAAGCACGCACCAAAGTCGTAAGTTTAATACAAGATATTAGTTTTATTAGTTCTATCTTCACACTTAAACTTGGAGCGAGCATGAACAATAAATAGGGAAATACAAGTTAATATGTTAATAGGAAATACTTGAGTTCACAAGTAATCCTATCGGAATTACTAGAGTTTGCAAGCAACCTTAACGATAAATTGGTAAAAACAGCAAGAAAGAATACAAGAATGCCAACGAAATCAACCCAAAAACAATAGATTGTATTAGGGAAAATCAAAGCGAAGCAAACATAAAGCAAAGATACAATTAATCCTCAATTCGAGAGGAGGATCGTTCTCTCCCAATCTCTATACGATGAGTCCAGAGCCCAAGACGCCAAGCAAAACTCCAAGAGAACAACTCAAAGCATGTCTTCCCTAACCCTAGCCTCCCCTCCTCTTTTAATACATATCTTCCTAATAAAACCAATAAAAGGTTTCCTAAAATAAACCAATATTCAAATAGTTTCCTTATGCAAATTCCGCCCCCTTCCCTCTCTCTCTTTGCCGCCCTAGGGGTCCCACACGCTTGGGTGGCATTCAAAGGAGGCGGCTTATCCCGCCTCCTATAGGGCTAAACCGGCCCAGGTTGGGCCGGTTGGACGGTTCAGGCCGAACCGTAACATATCTATTTCAAATCAACATTATACAACTCCAAGTAAATGCATAATCAAAAATCTTTTCAATGTTAGGTATATGAAATAGAAGGATATCAAATAATTTCAACATACTTTGTTTAAGATCAAACCACCTGCGGCTTAAACACATTATGCAAGCAATTTGAGTGCCAAATGACAAGAAACAATTTTCACCATTTTTATAAAACAAAAAACTCAAATCCAAATATTTGCTAGCCTATTGTGCCATACCAACTCCGATGGAAATATCATTATGAATTTCCATAAACTATGAGCTAATATATTAAATGGTTATTTTAACTATGGCATGCATATAGCAGGATAGAGCTGGTATAGTAATTCATCTAAATTATAAGTTAATATCAAATCTAAAAAATGTCATTGCCACACAAGACCCAGCTACGAACCACAATCTTGCTCCAATCCAAAACCCCCTAACAATGCACAACCTCTCAGCAATCCACTAGGTCCCATACTCATTATACTTATTGTGACCCACAACTTTCCACCGTGCCCATCATCGATATGCCCATGCCATATAACTGATTTTTATTAACAACCAACCCAATACAAAAAAATGAATTTCACGAATTTATTTTACAGTCAACCAAACAATCCTACGAAATCAAAATGCATTGTATCAAAGTTACACTGCACTTGAAATATATCAATAATTCAATATCCTAGATGCTTGCAACCAAACAACCCCTTATGTTGTTCTGGAGAATTTAGCTCATTACTCAAAAAAGGCAAGTACCCATATGTCAACTTTCACCTTGAGGGATTTTGCCCTGTTTCCCTTCATCATTAACAAGCATGGTTGGAATGGGAATGCAAGTTCTGAGTATATATTTGTCAACAACACCGATGTCTTTAACTCCTTTGGCCAAATTTAACAAGTGCTCTAGCCAACCCCACATAGTGGGATAAAGGCTTGATGTTGTTATTGTTGTTATTGTTTTATTCAAGACGAATATGCATCTCCTCCACTTCCAAAATATTTAATTTGAATATTTTTGCAAATACAACAACAAAAACAATATAGCCTTTATCGACTATATGGGGTCAGCTGCATGAATCTTTTTTTCCTCCATTGTGTCCTGTTAAGTGCCAAAATCTCATTTAAATCTAATAAAGAAATGTCATTTCTAATATTTTCTAACCAAGTCATTTTAGATCTACCTCTACATTCCTTAACATAAGTCAAATTTAATACATCTACTCTCCTAATTGGGTCATCGCAAGGCTACCATTTTATGTGACCTACCCATCTAAGGCGACTCTCTCTAATCTTATCTTCCACTGGAGTTATTCCAACCTTTTCACATCTATTCTCGTTTTGTACCCTATCTCAAGAGTAAAGACACTCATCCATCTAAGCATCCTCATCTCTGTAACACTTAACTTAATATTATGCCTCTCTTTAAATAGCCAACATTATACGCCATAAAGCATTGCAACTCTCACCACCATCTTATAGAATTTCCCCTTAAATTTGAGGGGGTTTTTTCTATCAACTTTTCTATCACTCAACAAGCCCGATGCATTCCTCCACTTTAACCATCCAACTTGAATTCTACTAATAATATCCCCATCTATTTCAGCATCACTCTAAACAATAGTCCAAGATATCTAAAACATGTACTCTTATTAATGACTTGATGACCCAAAGTTACAATCCTCCTACTAGATCTATTACTAAACTTAAACCCCATAAATTTAATTTTAGATCTACTCTAACAAAAACCTTTAGACTATAAGGTGGACCTCCATAATTCAAGTTTTTACCTTCAACTCCACCTCTCATCTTATCAACAAGAATAATATTATCAACAAAAAAGTATACACTAGGGTTCAACCTCTTGCAAATGTCTAGTAAGAACATCCATGACTAAAGCAAAAAAGATATGAGCTTAAGGCTGATCCTTGATGTAATCTAATGGAAATAGAAAAATACTTGGTCAAATCACCTTGTGTTTGAACACAAGTAACAGCTCCTGCATACACATCCTTAATGACTTGAATATAAGCATTATTAACCCCTTCCTTTTCTAGAACTCTCCATAGCCCTTCTCTTGGAACTTTATCATATGCTTTCTCTAAATCAATAAATATCATGTGTAGATCCTCCATCTCTCTATACTACTCCATCAAACCTCTAAAAAAATGTATAGCTTCCATAGTAGACCTATCCAGCATGAATCTAAATTGATTTTGAGAAACATTAGTATCATGTCATAACCTATGGTCCATAAAATTCTTCCATAGTTTTAAAGTATGACACTATAATTCACACAATTTTGTGCATCACCCTTATTCTTAAAAATATGAATCAACACAATCATTCTCCACTCATCTGGCATCTTTTTAGTCTTCAAAATAATATTACAAACTTAGTAAGCTAAGAAATTCATTCAGCTCCTATCTATTAGAATATCATTAGGTCCAACAGTTTTTCCACAATTCATTTTCTTTAAAGCCTCTCTACCTTCGGTTTTACTGATACGCCTATAAAAACAAAAATCTTTGTTTTCATTTAGGGTGCTAAGGTCACTAAAGTCAATCATATTCTCACAAGCTTCATTGAAAAGTTTAGCAAAATATCTCATCCACCTTTGTTGAATATCTTCTTCTAATAAAAGTCATTTTTTTATCTTCATCTTTAATGCACTTCACCTGAACGGCTGAACTAAATCCATACAACTCCTTGATACAACAACAACAACATCAAGCCTTTGTCCCACTAGTGGGGTCGGCTACATGAATCCTTTTTCGCCATTGTGTCTTATTAAAAGTCAACTTCTCATTTAAATCTAATAAAGAAAAATCATTTCTAATATTTTCTAACCAAGTCTTTTTAGGTTTACCTCTACCTTTCTTAATATAAGTCAAAACTAATACCTCAACTTTCCTAACCGGGTCATCGGAAGGCCTCCATTTAATGTGACCAAACCATCAAAGGCGACTCTCTCTAAACTTATCTTCCATTGGAGCTACACCAACCTTTTCACATATATGCTCATTTCGTATCCTATCTCTAAGGGTAAAGCATCCTCATCTCTACAACACTTAACTTAATATTATGCTTCTCTTTTAATGGCCAACATTCGGCACTATAAACACTTTCATTGTCAGGTCCCAAGTCCTGGATGAGAAAAGTGAAGGGTTGCGTTAAGTAATCGACAGCCAGCGTAAAACTTGTCGAATAATCATGACATAACAACTCCTTGATATCATTGAAAAATTAAATCTTTTTTTTTTCTTTTTCTTTCTATATTCCATCAGTTAAACACTTCAATTCATCCGCATGCACCTACCTTTTGAAGTTTTTCCTCTAGCTCTACATGCCAATTACGCAGGTAATTTCCATAAACATGCAAACAGGTTCAATAACCAGAAATGGGAATTACTGCCCTGACAAAAAGAGTACAGCACTACCCTAATTGATGGAAATTAAATAAAAGTGAATGATAATCAAAATTCTTCACCATTAATTAAACATAATTTTGATCCGCAGCAAGACTCAATTTGGAATAATATTGACAACAACAATAAGTGCGCGACAACAAAAGCCAAAGAATCCATACCAGACGAACAGTCTCTGGGAGAGAAAGCCACTGGGAATATAGCTGCTCCGCAACACAAGGGTTTTCCTTCAAGGCCAGGGGAGAAACCTCCGCCAGTTGAAGCAGCTCAGGGTCCAAAGAAGCACCGTCCTTTGATAACTCCACATCCATCCCAACCATTAACTAAATCTCTCATGTAACAATTATCGCAATAAACCGGCAGGCAGACACCAAAATTCGGATTCCGCCGGCGCGCACAAACCCTAGTTTCGCAAAACTACAAATCTGACCCCATTCCTACCAGAATCCATGAAAAGCTGAACCGACGCACCTGCTAAACAGCCACGGGTCATATCCTTGCTCACGATGCCAGAATCCTCCAGGGCTCAGCACAACGCGATACAAATCCAAATCCTCGCTATCGAAAGATAGAACCGGCCGTTTGAGAGGTAGGAAGCTATAAACAGCGGAAACTCGGATCAAGGCGACGATCGACAACAATTGCCGGGGAAGTCAGAAGAAATGGGCGCTGTGCCTTCAAATAGCTCAGTGGAAAAGCACGAATTAGGGAGAAAAGTCCCGATTTTTAGAAAAGAAGGCTAGGCACCAATCAAGATACGGGAGGGGTTTGAGCCAACTTCGCAGTCCGCGTTCCTGATTCATGCAAGCACCTGTCACGGTGCTCATCCATATATGGATGTGTTAAGGTCGTTGATCTTACTATGGATTTAGGTTTTTGATACTTCTAGATATTAGGTCAAGCTCATTCCTATTCGAGCCAAGCCTAATTGATGAAGAGTTTAATGCAAGTCTAGCTAACTCTTTTATTTTTATCTTAATTTGGTTTTTACCAAAAAAAAAATCATTTTTCACTTTTAATTAAACTTAGGCTTCGTTTGGGATGGCTTTTTTACTGTTTTCTAAAACGGAGTTTTATTACAATTTTTTTATTTTTGTACTAAAACTCTGTTTTAGAAAGCAATAAAAAAGTCGTCCCAAACGAAACCTTAGTGAGGCTAAATGATTAAATAATACCCTTCACAAGATCATTTGGACTATGCGCTAGTATCTTTTGAATGTATATATAATACTAAAATTGCATATTTTCATTCATAAACAAATATTTCAGAAGAGAGAGCAAACCATTTAGAATTTAACTGCAAAATGCAAAAATACATACATGAACAAAATGTTATTATGTTATTAATGTTGTTATTAATACTATATTTCTATCTAAACACTATTAATTATTATGTGCAATACATCTCTCATGTTTGGAAAAGCATATTTGCTATTATAAATTAGTCGAAATGAAAAAATATCATAATATTCTGATATAATTTATATTAAATAAATTTAAAAACTTATTAAATTTTATCTAAGATTAATACAATACAAATATTTTATATTTAGTGCTTTAATTGAAATCAAGTCAAAGCTAACTTCTTGATTCTTAGGTCAAATATTGCTTTCTTCAAGAATGCATGGGTAGATCTTTTCACTTGAGGATTTGAAAAGAAAATTTTGAATTTTCTTGGTAAGATCTGGTTTCAGTTTGTGATGTTCAAACACATTCGGAGATTAATTCGGATGCGCCATATCATCCAATGCACTAAGGCGCATCTAAAATCTGAATTTGTATCCGGATGTGTCCATACACTGCACGTAATAATTTTTGCAATTGGTGACCATTTTGCATATCTTTTTTCTAAGAAAATCAAACCCAAGCTTTTTTGTCAGTTAAATGCCCTCTTACTGTATGAAATAGATTAATGATTCGTTTGAGACAGCTTTCTTACAACTTAAAAATACATTCATGAGCATCATATAGAACATGTGACATTCCCAGCAACTTCCAATATATTTAGAACAGCTGCATCATTTTAAAAAATTGATAGTGAAATTATTATAGAAAAAATAACTTCTCTATTATTATAATTAAAAATGATTTTTAACCAAAAAAATTCTAAAAAAAAAGGTAAAAAAAAAAAGACAAGAAAGCTGTTGCCAAACAAAGGATTCGTTTGAGACAGTTTTCTTACTGCTTCTTAAAACAGCTTTCTAGTACAAAAGTTAAAATTTTTGTACCTAAAAGCTGCTTTAAGAAACGGTAAAAAAGTCATCCCAAATGAAGCCAAAATTGGGATTGTTATCTTCCGAGCAAAGCAACCAGACTTTATAAGCTATTTCAAGGGAAAAAAATTAGAAGAAATAGCAACAAGACTGATTATGGGCTACCATTTTCCTAGCTTCACTGCTGCAACAAGAATGATAACAAGTCTGAAATAGGAAGTGAATTTAGAAGGTTCTATATGTAATGGACATTTCTCACATACAATTGTCTATCCGAGATGACCAGACGCCCTCTCCTTATTTGGAGCTCTGGCACAACAGGATCATCACCACATAACTAAACAAGAATAGCCCCTTCTTTCCATCTTCCTTATGTTTATCAATGTGAAAGTTGGTAAAGGGAAAAATATTGAATTGCTTTTGAACCCGCACTTCCAGGAATCAAAGCCTTCAGTTCGTCAAAGGCAAACACGATTAAGGTTTCGTTTGGGAAGACTTTCTTGTTGCTTCTTAAAGCAGCTTTCTAGTATAAAAATTAAAATTTTTATATTAAAAAGTTGGTTTAGAAAGCAACAAGAAAGCCGTCCCAAACGAAGCCTAAGTGAGGTGAAATCCATACAGTTCTAGTTGTGCTGGGAGCAGGCTGATGAAATCCATTTGATCAGCAAGAAAAAAATGGTTTCCCAGAGGAAAAACCTTGAATCAGTTACTTCCTCTTATCTGCACTAACAGAGAGGAGCTCAAAGTTTCTGACAGGATTTTCAGCACGGGAACTTCTTGTAAATGCAGTTCGAGAGAGCGAGGTAGACGCCGCAGCTGCACCAGGCTGAGCAATCCTCGGTGCTACGGCGGGCCGGCTGCTGCTGCTGCTAGAGACCATTCTGCTTGCACGACTTGTGAGCTGCTCACTGGGCTCAGCAGAGCTTTGCCGACTGCTTGAGATTACAGCCCTCTTGGAGGTGCTACCATGTCGAGAAGAGGGTGCTCTAGCTTTATCGGAATCCACAACCTTAAGAAGCAGAACAAGAACATGAAAAATTTTTTAGGGAAGAAAAATCCATATGCAAAAAAAAAAACTAAAATCATTCAAAACAAGTCCATAATGATCGGCAGAATGTCGTTAATATAATCATCAAATCAAATGTGGCGTTAATCTTGCACCAGTTACATATTAATTTAGTCCAAGATTTTTTTAAGTATTCAATTTAATCCCTCAACCAGTTTGAATCAATTTGATCCTACCGTTAACTATATCATTTCTTTGGACCAAAATAGGAGAGAAGCTTTCCATGAGAGCATGAGCATTTTGAACTTTGTAGGATCAACCTCTTAATAGTAGCTCAAATTAATATGATTAACTATAAAGTTCACTGATGAAAAGGTTACCTCCATCATGACAAAATTGATAGTAAGACCAAACTGGTTCATATTTAATGAGTTGAGGTAATAAATTAAACACTTGAAGAGTTTGAGACTAAGGTTTCGTTTGGGACGGCTTTTTTTCTGCTTCTTGAAACTGTTTTCTAGTACAATTCTATTACTTCAAGAAGCATAAAAAAGCTATCACAAACAAAGCCTAAGATGAACACACCTAAAAAGCCTAGAAACCATTTTAGTTATTTACTTTGCAAAAAAATGATTCCAAGAAAACATTGAAGCCTCGCATAAGTTATGCTTGAAGGGTGTAGAAGCTAAGCCACAACCACTCTAGTTATTCTAGAAATGCAGCCTTATTTTTCTATCCTACATATACTTCGTCGGAATCGTTGTAAGACCCGTGATGCACAACAATTCTTATTTGAAAAAATTTCATGCACAGGATGCATTGTTCATCAATGAAGTGTACTCTGCCTATTTGCCTATTTACAGGATGTGTCCCAAGTTTTCTTTTAGCAATTAATATAAACATCATTTAGAGCATTCAACCCATGATGTACAATAAGTTTGACCATTGTCTTACTTGAAAATCATTCAAGTGATTTCAACTATCTGAGATGTATAAAAGGGCCTAGCATAACAATTATTCATATGAATGCATTATCCTTAGTGTACTCATGAATTTATATTTTAAGTTCATTGCTCACATTCTGTCTGATTGTACGTATGTTACAGATCTAGTGGTGAGTGTCAAGGGTTAGAATCTCTCATAAGTATGTGACTTGTATTTTACTCAAGTGGGCCCCATAGGAAGTCGCTCTTTCTATCTATAAATAGAAGCTTGCCCTTGTTCATTTGTTAGTCCAAGTTCGATTCGCCAAGTAGGCTTTAAGGACTATGAGTATTAAGAAGAGTTTTTATTAATACAGTCAAGAAGTTTCATGCTTACAAGCAATCTTTCAGGTTTATCTTACATTCCTTTTTAGTGCAATCTCTGATTTAACGTAATGTTATTTTAATTTTTAATTTATGTTTGGATGTTCTTTTAATTTTGTCCTATTTAAGTCCTTGTCAATGTAAATTATGGCAGCTTCTTAGCATCTCCCTAACATAGGAGTGTCTTCAAGAGTGGTATGTTTGCCCATCATGCTTAATAGTCAGTGTCGTGAGACATCACGATTGGGGCCTTCTATCCCATCACGATTACGAAAAAACATGCATAGGTCTTCGTATACCTATTCCGAACCTTCAATGTTTCCCCACCATATCAAAAAAGATAAGCACAATTAATATTTGAATTTTTCCTGCCATATTAAGAAAAGTGAGCATAAGGTTTACACATTATTTTGCGAGTGTCGCCTATGAGCTTCTCTTGTCGCACTAAGAAAAATGTGCACGAGTTCTGCTCATTGCACCAAATTTGTCGCATTTAGGATTTTGAGATTTTTTCATAATTGCATTTTTTAAGTTGCGCATGTGAGTGACAGAGTTGATGACGAACAGGACAGAGACAACGAGATTTGCGTGGCAAATACACACAATAATAATGTAAGCTGCTTATTTTAGTTTAACTTCAGTTAGAAAACTGATGTTATACTATAATAAATTGCAGATAACCAAGAAGCATTTATTTAATAAGGTATCTTTAACAAACTTTGTAGCATTGCGCCGTGAAATTATTTAAGAACCGGTTGAACAATTTCTCAGATGATTAAAATGCTTCCATTTCAATTAGGCACCTCAGGAGATTTCAACTAAGCTATAACCTACTGAATATGCGCAAATTTCCAGCCGTTAGAAATTTCACATGCAAACCAAATTTACCGGAGAGGTCTTTTCTGAATCAGTTGCCCGATATTATCAAAAGAAAAACAAAATTTGTGGACAGGCTCACTAAAAATGATTGCAGGACAATTCATGAGTAATAACCAGTAAGCTCCACTTTTTTAAACCAAACATCTTTTGGATCATAAATATGTTTTGGCTTGGCACTATAGTAAACAGGGACGAACTAAAAAAAACGCACATGAAATCAGAATAACTTGCCTCCTTGGATGACGTATCCTCTAAGGTTTTGTGCTTGGAATGGTCTCCATGATGACCAGCACCAGAACCACCCCTCCGAGTCAATGCTTCAACTGCACCAGAGAATCTATCACGAATCTCCTGTCCCACTGGAGAACGAAGCACGTAAATAGACTAAAGCCAGCTGCACTAATGAAGCGGACTGAAAGAAAAAAAGGAGGTGGGTGAGTGTGGGTGGGAGAGAGAGAGAGGGAGAGAAGAAAACCTGAAGTCCTTTCGGCTCTTTCCACTGAAGGTCCAATAGCTCCACCTGCTCTTCCCCCAGGCTGCTAGGAGAAGACAAAACAATAGCCAACTGGTCCGAGAAAGCATTAAAACACAATGGAGCACAAACATATATAGAGCCATACCTTTGCCCTGACATTAGCACCGATTTGAGGATACTTCAATACAGTCCAGTCAAAAACATAATCAAACTGATAACCTGCAGTACAATCAGATAAAATCTTATGATGAAATAATTTTCCATACAGCTTTATACAACTGCATGTAAGAGAAAAATGCTACCTTCTCTAATAAAAAGATCACGGAAAAGCCTCTTCAAGTATGAGTAATCTGGTTTATCTTCAAATCTCAACGAACGGCAATAGTGAAAATAAGATAAAAATTCAGGAGGATGTGACTTGCACAATACCTGGTTTTAAAGATAAAGGGTGTCAATTACCCCATGTACCATCCACTAATTAAGGTTTCGTTTGGGACGGCTTTCTTACTGCTTCTTAAAGCAACTTTTTAGTACAAAAATTTTAATTTTTATACTAGAAAGCTGTTTTAAGAGGCAGTAAAAAAACCATCCCAAACGAAGTCTAAATTGGAGTCAGAACAACTAAGGAAAACCAATTTAAAAGAAGCATGCACCCGTTACCTCCACAGGAGTAAGCATTTTCTTTTCACTAATTTTATCATACTTCTGCTTTTTAGTACCAGCTTTCAATCCCTGCCAAGGAAGGCTGGGAAAGATAATATTAGAAATTGAACTTCAAGGCAAGAATAATAATCAGGTAAATATCACTAGAAGTAATAAACCGAGATGCTTCAATCCAAGTCTAACCTTCCTCTTAAAAAGTACATGAGTACATAACCAAGAGATTCCAAATCATCCCTCCTGCTTTGCTCTGTACATAAATCATGGCACTTGAGTGAAATAAATTTTTACAAGTATAAGAACAGAAACATTACAATCATCTGCTATGAACACTAACCAACTCCAAGATGAGTGTTAACGCTTGCGTACCGAGCTGTTCCAGTCAGATTTTTGTTCTCTCTGTTATAAAGGAATGAAAAATATCTTATCTATATTACTGGAGTAAATATATGATTCAAGATGAGCCTAATGAAGGAAATGAGCATAATTACACAAATTCATTTATTGCATAAGTGTGTATTTTAGGTGTTGGCAAGTTCAATTGAATTAACATGTACTATTTAATTATTTGAAATCATTAAAAAGTGCTTAATTTGGTTAATCATGTTAATTATGAGCTAATTAAGTTATTATTAAAAATTTATGTTATAGAGTAGAAATTAGATCGTAAATATATCATCATTTAATATGGCACATTGTTTAGTCAAAATTATATACAACCTTTATATATTATTTTACATATTTTTGAAGTAATTACAACATTAAAGGAATTATAAAATTATTATCATCCTCTTTATTTATATGATTTTGGGCGTCACAGAAAATGCTACACCAAGGTAATACATCTTCAAAAATATATCATGTGGCTAATTAAATTGATGAGAATGAGTACATGGGGAGAAAATCTCATTGAGCTCAAGTCTGGATGGGCAAAACCCATTGAATGCGAATCGAGGTCAAACACCTAAAATCATCTAGCTGAAGTGTAAATTCGACCACATGAAATCAGCCAATTAAATGGTGAATTTGGCCGCCTAAAGTCGACCACCTGAAGGGAGAATTCAGCTGCTTGAAAGTGTGAATTCGACAAATTGAAGTCAGCAACCTAAAAGGGTTTGCAGGCCTAGTAAACAAGATCTTGTAAGGCCTTGACAGTAGTGCAAGGAAACTAGCAAGAACGCATTATAAGACTACGCAGCCCCAGGTACGTTTGAAGCTGACACTAGAAGGTAATTAAAAAACTAAAAAAATATCACAAGAATCGTTTACAATGATAATTAACTTCCAGAATGCTTTCCACAAAGATTTTTTAGCAATGGGCAACGCTTCTATGCTCTAAATTGCTGTTTGGTCCTCCCTAATCCTCAAGCTGTTAGACTGGTCCAGCAAGTCCATACGAGACCGGCTTTTATCTATCAGAGGCGGAATGCGGAAGTTCCGCCCCAGATACCAGAAGGTCCATACGGGACCGGCTTTTATCTATCAGAGGCGGAACGCGGAACAGAAGTTCACCCCAGATGCCGCGCGAGTCCGACTCCTTCCAGTGGGGTCCAACAACCAAGTGAAAAAAGAATTTTGGAGGAAAATTTGAAAGGAGCGGCTGTTTAGAGATTTCCTTGTGAATTGTTTGCTTTAAGTAGATTGTTTCCCTAGGGTTAGGGAATTATAAGTTTTGGCTGAAATTAGATTGTTCTTATGTTTGTTTTGGGCTCTAGCAGCGTCTAGAGATTGGGAGAGCCAGATCATCCTCTCCAATTGAGAATCCATTGTATCTTGTTGATTTTTTTCTATTATTATCAATTAAATAGTTCTTCATCCAAGTTTTCTCAATCTTTGATTCACCAAGAAAAATTCTTGTTTCCTACCACCGTTTCCTGCCAAATGAATCCTTCCCAGTTTGAATAAGCTGCAGGTCATCAGGATTGATGAACCAAAGTCCAGAGCACTGCAGTGCTTTAAGTTTTTCAGGCCTAAACGTAGCAGAAATGATTTAAGTGAATGCTGCCTTGTTCGATCTCTTCCCCATCATTTGCTCCTTGGCCGTGAACCTCCACTCTTCAAAGAGAAATGGCCAAAGCTAATACTGGATGGAATTTTCATCCACAGGAATTTCACTGCTTGAATATTAAGCTTCTTGCAACCCAAATGTCTTCTCCTTGCTCCAACAAAGTCTTGGGCTTCCCGATTAAAGAACTTTTGGATTGAGCTACTTTCCCTTCCCATAAGCTTGCAAAAATTCATTCAGAATTGAAAAAAAAAAAAAAACACAAGGCAGTTATCTTGGGATTTTTTTTCTTCTGAGGAACGCAACAGCCAACTGCAGCTTGCAGCAGGAATTGAGGTTACAGTACACTAGAATTCTGTAGGTGACGCCCAGGGCAGCCACCGGGAGACGAATTCTGAGTGCCAAAATCAATTTTAGCAAAGCCTTGGACTCCAATATAACCACCACTCCTATGGAAATAAGTTTTCCTGGCGTTTTTTTTTTAATTTATGCTATAAGAACAATATAGACAGCCACTTAATGATATCGGGACAGCAAGGATAGATAAGGAGGAAAAATATAAGCTTTGATGATCGTTTGAAGTGAAATCCCAAACTCCACTATGATCTCTTCCCCTTCTCATCTCTCCAAACCTGGAGAATCTACCTCAAAATAGGGAACTGCTTCCCACAAACTCAGATAACCTGAAATTAACTTTTCCAAAAACTCTCCCTCTCAAATATAAGGCTTGGGCATTTATAAACAAACATCTATTAACATATAATCACCTTAACTAAACTACCCAATCTAATGAAGTGAGGCAAAAAGAGTCTTACATTTAATTTACAATTTATAAAAGAACCACCCCCCTTAATACTATGTCAAGACTTTATCCACTCCATAAAAAAGGAATCTTGCTGTGGTAAGATCAGATCATCAGAATAGTGAAAATCCTAGGCGGCTGGACATCTAGGCATGAATTTAGGGGAAGTGCCAACTCACGTTAAAATTTGTCACAATTGTTCTATAACTTAGTTTATTTACTTACTCTTTCTTATTTATTTCCTTATATAATCATTTAAGCTTGCATGATAAATTTGGTGAACATAGATTGTTTTTTGTGGTATTGTATGGATTAATGTTGTGATTAAAATTTAAATTGCTCTCACTTAGCGCATAATCTTTATCATCATCATAATACCATATTAGTTTGGACAATTGTATAAATTAAGATGTTAAAGTTGATAACTAGTGTAACTTGCTAATCAATTCACATTTGAGCTTAATAATAATAAAATCACTAACTTACTTTGATCATTATTGTACACAATAAGTTTAGTTGTAAGGTGTCTTTAACAGGATTGAATTAATAGATTACTAGCGCGCATAGTATTAAATATATCAGTTTCATAAATTATATTATGACAAATTATTTGTACACCCTTTATAGTAGTTTATACATATTGTGTATTTATCAATTTCTACATTTGTACATCTAATTGTGTATTTTATAAGTGTTATACAATTTTATTCCAGTATTTTTATTAATGCAATTATTTATTTTATTCAACACTTATTTTAACTTATTAAAAAAATATTTTCAAATGTTTTTGACTCTTAATAGGACACAATGGAGAAAAAAGATTCATGTAGCCGACCCCACGTAGTGGGATAAAGGCTTGATATTGTTGTTGTAAAAAAATATTTTCAAATGTACCAACTCAAATCCCCCCCTTAATGTGCCATTAGACTCTCGGCCCTTAAAATTACAAATCATAAATGCAACCTTTATTTCATGCAAATTATTTCCCAAGCTATTTTCTTCAATGATATAATTTTCTAGTTATTTCAATGGATGTCTAAGAAATAAGAATTGTAATCCTAAAAAATACATATAATAAAATACATCATTTTAAATATCATTTATAAGAATATTCATAACCAATGCAAAAAGATTTAGATTTAATATTAATCCTTGATATAAACCTGTCAAGATTGGAAACTCGATCAGTCCAGGCTACTTTTAGTATAGTCAATGTACTATTAAATATATAATAACTTCACCATACCTTGCATGCATTTTTTCCTTATGTAAGCTAAATCAAATTCCATGGTACTTTATTATATGCCTTCAAAAAGATTAACAAAATCATGTACAAATTCTTTCTTTGTTCTCTATGCTTTTTAATAAACTATTTTGGTACAAAAATCATGTCCATAATATATTTTCTAGCATAAAATAAACTGAATCTCCAAAATCAATGCAAATTTTTTTAAGTCTATATTCCATTATGTTCTTCCATAATTTTATTGTAATATTAGCCATCTCCTTTATTCTTGAATATTACTACCAAAATATTTATCCAATTATTCAGCAGCCTCCTAGCTGATGGAAATCTTAGGGATTACATTAATTGAAAGCCTAAACCTTACGTACTACAATGAGCAAATTTGGTCTAATGTTTTATTTTTATTTTGATCTTTTCTGTTTTTTCTATTTTATGATTTTATTTTAATATAACTGCTGACTAAAAGAATGAAATATATACTTGATTAAAAGTCAAATTTTAATCTAAATTTGAAATTGAGCATAGAATTAACCGTAATTAAATCTATTCCTAAAGGGGAAATTGAATCAATCATGAAAAATGCAATTGAAGAATGACCGAGCAATTTGATAATGCAAATCATGATGATATTGTCAATGAAAATTATCCTCAAGTTGAATGACTAAATATTTTCTTTGATTTTTGGCTTAGTGATATAATATCATAAAAAGAAGCATATTGAGAAATATAAGTTACATCAATACAACAATAAATTTATTTGCCAATGAATGCCTTAAAATAAACCTAAAACATAAAACTCTTATATTATGGTCAATAAAGTGCATGGTTCATGATTCGCATTTAAATCATGTATGTTAGTTTTCTTTAAAAAGGATATCCATCCATATTTGTGATTATTATGCTTCTATTTTCATTCGCATCTTACATTCTACTAAGGGGTTGTTTGCAACAGGATTTATGCAGGATTTTAAATTCTGCCAAATGTGATTTGAGCGCCTGGTAAATCACATGACGAAGTAAACTCTTTGTTTCCCTATTTTTGTTGTAAATCCCGGTTTTACTAAATCCTTTGGTTTGGCGGATTTACGGGATTTGGCTGAAGAAGAAAGTGAAAAGGATAAAGATAACCTTAGCAGCAAGCGAGCTCCCGTCATGACTTCTGATCTGATGTCGTAGAAGGATGCAAAGAAGCTTCTTTAGCGACTCTTTCAACACACTATCTCACACAGTTTTCAAGCTTCATGTGAAGCACACAAGATCAAAGCAGCCACGAAGAAATGGAGATGAGGAAAAACAACAATAATGAAGAAATTGAGAAGATGAAAGAAAACACTAGATTAATTAAATAACTAGTAATTAAAAATTAAAATAAATAGTTTAATTAATATAATTTGAAAAAGAAATAATTATGATATAACATTATAAATAATAATTAAATAATTAATAAATAGTAGAATATTTAAATGATTAATGAGATATTTAATAATATAATTAATAATTAAAACTAATTAAATAATACTTTAAAATTTAATTAAATCATTAATAAGAGTATTAATTAAATAATTAGTTATTTCAAAAATAATTAACTAATTAATTAGATAATTATTAATATAATTAGATATCAATTACTTATTAAATTAACACATAAATAAGTAATTTAATAAATAGTACTATTATTAGTAATTAAACAATTTAATAATTAAGCTAATTTCTAATTCAATTATTGATCATTATGACTTATTAACCATAATTAAAATTGAAATTAATAAGAAACTCTTACTTAACACGCAATTAAATTCATGGCACATCAAATTTAATTTTTAAATGAACCTACCACCTTAAATCATGAATTACATTGACAAATAGTTTCATAAGATTTAATAGAATGTAAAAACTATTTTGCCAAACATATTTCAAGATTTAACATACCAGGATTTACCAAATCCTAATTTTGCCAAACAGCTCCTAAGAATTAGTTATATATTTGATCAATATTTCTTAGAATGCAACTTAGTATTTTAGCTCTTTGATTATTTATTTTATTAAATACTCATCACTAATATGATTTTCCTAAATTGCATTAAGATATTTATGGATCATTAACTATTAATTACAACAATTCTAATTTTTTTGCTAATGTAAATAAGAAGTTTAAACTAGATAATATGGTGATAGTGCATTTAAATTCAAAAATATTTTATTGTTGAACCTTTAAGTTAAACGTAAGAAAGGCATGAACATTTAAAATTTACAATGCATTGAAACTAACACACATAATTGAAGCCTTAATATAACAAATTTAACCTTATTTCATGAGTTGGATATCAATTCCTCAAATGCATCTACACTTTACTAGCCAAATTTATATAACTTGTTCATGAATTACTTCTAGATGATGAAATTAAGTCCAATACAAATAGTGAATTCCAAAGCTATTTTGAACACAAGCGTGACAAACTTGTTTGTATGACTAATTTATTACTTTGTATAAAGCACAAATTTATGCTCTAAATCAAATGCTAAATTTTTTTAACCCAAATTTTACCAAGCTGGACATATTTGAAAGAGATATGAGAGCCTACACTAGTTGAAAATGCAAATCTTACATGCTTTGACGAGAAAATTAGCAAATTTGTTCCCTGTTTTATATTTATTTTGTAATATTGTATTTCCAAGTTTGAAAATTTATTTTAATATGCATGTGATGATGTGACCTACAAGAACGAGATTTGTTCTCTTGATGAAGCTCCTAATCTAGTTTGGCTTACGTGGATTGTTAAGGCATGGGCTACTTTGATTTTATGTTTGATGGATGAAGCATGTATAACTATCAATTGCAATTTATCTCACCTGTTTCACAGTTCTGTGATTATTATTGCTACCAGGAGTTTGGCAGATTTAAGCAGATCTGTATCATTCAAATTAGCCCACATTTAAATGCCACATGTTTATAGTTTGTGTAGCTTCTGATTTTTTCATATTTATGAGTTTACATTTAAAAAAAACAATTTTTTGTATAATTAGTTGTCTTTGATCTATGCATCCTTATATTTATTTATGTAAACAACATTCATTGCTTCATCCAAATTGCATTAGGAATTCCAGGCCATCAAACTTCCTGAATCATTAGCATTTTAAAAGATTTTTCTAGTTTAAGCCTAACAGGAAACTCAATTCAAATTAAAAGATCTAACAATTTGTCTATCCATTTTTCTTCTTAATACTTCAACATTAATTGTATCTCTCATTAGCAAATCTTTTACCATCTATTGGACAGACCCAAACCAATAAATTTATTTCAAATACATTTTCACATTAAGTGTTACTCCAATAGGCCCTCTAAAAATAAACATTTCTTAATTTATCATGCACAGCTTGCAACAAATTCATTTTAGCGCTCATATTATTGCCACCCAAATTGACTAGCAAAGACTTCTTGTTTAAGTCAATAAAACATTGCTATTTTAATCATAATTTTATCAAATTTACCTATAAGTCTCCAAGCACTTATCCCTTTCAATTGATCAGGATTAACTCTAAAAGTTCTATCTCTATATGTATCCTTAAAACTCTTTGTAATAAATCTAAGCTAATTAAACTTGTCACACTAAAACATTATTTGATCTTATAAACTCATTATTATCCATTTCATACCCACTGAAAATAAAAATCTTATAAATGATCTTCATTGCAAATGTATGAAGACTTGAATAAAAGTTGTGAAAAAACATGACAACATAACTGTAAACATCAAATGCAATGCTCAATAAAAAAGAATGGAGTCATAAATTTACCTCAAAATAATGAAATTTAGTGGTAAGGCTAATGATCATGATGTAATAAAGTATTCTAAATGCAACAAAAATATAGAAATAATACAAGTTTCACCTGTACGGAATATGCTTATGAGTCTGCAGATCTCTATATTTCTTTGCAAGACCATAATCAATAATATAAACCTACGAAAAGATTATACAAAAAAAAAATTAATAAACGAGAATTAAATTTGGTTGAACTGCAATGCAATCAGCTGCTACCATAGAACAAACACTAAACATAATAGGTAAGGCATTCCATGAATCTAAATGCATATCATAGAAATTATGGAATCTTGCAAATCAAAAACCATGAAGTGAAAAGCACCCAATCCAGCATGTAGTTGTCATAGAAAAATATTGCCGACAAATAATATCTCGTAATCACATGCAAAAACTAAAATGATAATTTCTAGCTGAATCCCTCGAGTAAATGAGATGTATCCTCAAATATAAGACGTGCAGGAAGAGATAAACTGAAAAGTTCAAAAGGAACTACATTTAAGAATCACACCAAAACATGGCTGGTAACTACCATAAGCCCCACATTAATCTAGCTGTGTGGGTGGGTGGAGATTTAATGAGGTGGTGTGAGAGAGAGCTATTGGGTTGAGATGGACATTTTAGATAGAGAGATTAGATTTGGACTGCCCCTCCCCAACCCATGCTGATGGGTTAGGGTTGGGATTTAGTGTGCAAGTGCTTACCATGAGCAAATACGATGAATACACAAAATAATAGTAAAGAGAACAAGCATCACAGGAAGACACTAAGCTTATGGTTCGACTAAATTAATTGTTGGAATCCACAAGAGAGGAGAGAGCATCTACTAAACTAAAGAGAAGCTATACAAATGTACAAAAATAACTGTGGCACAAGAAAACACTATTCCTCAAACCAAATACACCCAAACTCATCACAGAAGAGATTCTTCAAATCTTTCAACCCACATCAAAAAGAGGATCACAAAGAAGACATACTAAACAAAGAAGATTTAAATAATAGCAGAAATTATTGTGGTCTCAGAAAGGCACATGCACTAGTGATTTTCTTCCACTCTATTCAATTCTTAGGAGTAACATGGGATTTTAAAATCAGATTGAGATGTAATTGCAAAATAACCTCACATAGCCATCACACATAACTAATCATAGTTTATTTTAATTTTAAAGGATTAGGATTTCTCATAGGTACAAGCCCGTATGAATAATTACACACTCTCAACTAAGGAAATAAAACCATCTTATGAGGGTTTAGGAAATTGTCAACATTTGAATGGAGATGGAAGGAGATGTATGATCAACCAAATCACAATCCAATGGCTCTGCATCCCAAATCGATCTAGTGGACCTAGTCTGGCAAATTTAGAGGATGTTGAACCATATCATCTAAAGAGACTAATAAACAACCATTACTTCTCTCCTTGCATATACCTCAAGTACACTAGCATTTTCTTATGAAAGAGGACATGTCCCCTCAAGACGTGGTCCAAAGTTTGCCTTTGAAAAAAAAACAAAGGGATAAAGGAAGAAAATATGGTTAACTGCGGTTTAGATGTTCAAGGACTTAATTTCAAAAAGTTTAGTGACTAAGCTCGTCTGATTTACATTTTGGGATTTCGGTGTGGGAACCTACTGGTCTGCAAATTAAAGTCATCGAGTTAATTCTAAATGAATACAATGCTAAGTTCATTAGAGTTAACCAGAGGTAATATAAGCTGATTGAATCTTTTTAAATTTTAAGATTAATCTTTCTATGACTAGATTGATTGAGGTTGAAAGGAACTGACCAAAATCAATTGTAGTCCTTTCCAAGCAATTGTGTTCTTTTGACACCATGAAAGGTTATTGGCACGTCTATCAACTTATCAATGTAGCAAAAATCCAACGTGTCGACGTGGGTCTTGTTGTGAGACCAAAAACCAAGGTGCTTGAGGAAAGTTAAAACACACCATTGAATGACAAGACCAAACAAGAATGAAGGTAAACAATTGCGCACTTAAAAGCTACTCGAAATAGTATATTCCCATATATTTATCGAATCATCAAAAAAAATTATGGAGAAACCATGTTTCTACCATGTCAAAATCAAACTCCATGGTCAAATAAAAACTTTTACTCTCTTTCTCATCCCTTTCAATTCACTCTCCTCCTCTCATGTTTATATTTATTTATCTTTACACTCGTAACTCATCTCTATTTTCAAAAGCAATAATAGCCTTCACTTTTTAAAGTCCAGTCCAATGCCTCCAACACTTCTTTGTCAATGACCATTATTCGACTCTAGAATCTATTTAACTAAAATATAAATGAATTGATACAATATTTGTTTATGTATGCATTTGTGTGCTTCTCGCTTCATGTCTCTAAAGTAAGCATCTATTCCATTAAAATTTCCAACAATAAGGCCCAAACTAGCCACTGAAAACCAAGACAAACTTCCCTCCAATACCTCCGCAAACAATAGATATAACAACCTCAGATAATAGCTCTCAAGAAATTCTTTAGCACACAGGTACACAAAAAAGAGTGAAACATTCCTTCATCCTACTCTCTCAGCCTTTGGATTTCACTTGTCATGTCACACCGAGGATCTATGTGAAAGGATTTATATTTCTCTTTTTTTATATATCTTTATTATCTTGTCAATTCATTATATTCATTAATCAACCATTGAAATCAGATCAATATCCAAAGCTAATTAATTTCATCACAGAGAACCGATAAACAGCGGAAAACATAATTCAAATTATATACTCTAGAATTACATAATAACGATAGAGCTCAAAATAATATATACAATAGTGACAGAATAGTCACTATGGCTACAAAAGAATATATAAACCAAAGAACTGAAATAAAAGCTACACTTGCATCATTGCATGCATACATAACTGCCGGCTCCTTACCTGAAATCATTTAAACCACGTAATGAACGAATACCCCAGCAAGTAACTAAAATCTTACAACTGAAATCAATACAAGAAGAAACGAAACAATATGTTGTAAATCGTATAAAGAAATTTATGCATGAATATATATGCTGGTTATTTATACTGATTGCTCAGTTTATAACACATCACATCGCAGTCCACAGTATTAGTAACAATGATCTATATTAGTAACAGTGATCACTATCATCAAGAACAGTACATTATCAACAGTAAACGACTCAGTATAATGTAAGTTACAATATCAATACATTAATGAGCAATCATTTAGTAATTAGTATTATATAGTCAATAATCAGTGTTCTATCATATATTCATTTGAGGGTATATTGAAGGTATCTTGCTCATGCACTTATAACTTACTATCAATCTCTAGCTCCTTATGACTCCCAAATCCCAATCGTTTCTCTAGAATTGTTGTTTTGGAATCGTTATATCATTTGTATTTATAGAGTTATCATCCCATAAATCTGATACCAATCAATATCTCCTCTTCCATCAGTATCAATATAATTATTAATATAGTACATCCTTTCATTTCTCAGTCAAACCAATATTATATTCCAGTACCTATTAATCATTTCAACATATCATACAGTTCAGTACATCTTACCAATAACAATATATCATTTTTCACTTCAATTTCAATACACATTTCCACACACATTCCATATAGAAATTCCTATACACAAATTTAACCGGTAAAATATAAGTAAATCATATCAAATCATTCATAATGGTCAAATCTATAGCATATCAAAAGTTACACAGTGAAAGCTTACGAAATTAGGACATAATGCAATTTTAACATATTTAGGAGAGATAAATCCATTGAAATCAACATCATCAAAAACAAAAGTAAGATGATAGTTACTTACAAAGTTAGAATACTTTTCATAAAAGGAACGATGGACGGAAATGACCAGATGGCCCTTCTCTCTCTTCTTCTCCCCACTTATCCTTCAATTCTTCCCAGCCCAGCATGTGAAGTGAGGGAGTGAGGGGGCGGTGCAGCGATATTTATAATAAAATATATTAAAAAAATAATATTAGTTGTCTAGTGCTGCAGCGCTCAGTCTCAAAGCTACAGCGCCGCATGCAGAAATAAGATTTACTGTAAAACAGAGACACCAGTGCCGCGGCGGCAATTTCTGACACCGCAGTTCTCTCAACCCTAGCGCCAAATCGCTCACATGTACAGGGCCGAAAAGCTCTAGTTCAATCAGCAATTCAAAAATTCACATTTTTTTATTTAAAATGATTTTTATATCTTTGGGTTGTTACATGTTATACCGCAAATGATGGCCAGAAAACCTTCTTTAATTAACACTGAACATATAGTTCCTTACAATTTTCTTCCCCTTGTGCAACATATATGAAAATATCATTGTTATGATCAATTGATCGCATGTGAACTCTAGAAAAGCAACACGACCATGATAGATGCATTAGGAATTGATAGATATCTAAAGAACTAGTTCACTGGTTAATAGTAAAAATTTGGCAAATAAATGCCTAGGAGGACACATGAGTAGACCTACAAATAGGTAGTAGGCATCACACAAAGGGAAAGGGATGAGATTTTATTGTAGATTGTGAAACTTGACACTACACACTAAACTATGTCGAAGAAGAGTTTAAATGACAGTTCATAGTAGCAGGATAACAAAATATGTTTTTATGTTATTATTTGGAGTTGCTTGAACCTAAAAGACTGATATAGTTGCAAATCAAGAAATATTGTGCAAGCTATAGATCTTGAACCGGACAGCTGTTGCAGCATTCTGACAGGTAATTAGAATGGCCAACAAAAGGCACAGATTTTCCAAATAGACAACCGACAAATAATGTGAGGGTTGCTAGCAAATTTATGAAACAAAATGAATTGGAGAGGGAAGGAATTTTACTATAAACATGGTTTTGCAGTAATGATAATTATATAGAAGTAAGAAACCCTTGAACATTGGTTGATAACATACTTGATTGGCTCTTCTTCCCAAGCCCATTAGGAAGTTGTCTGGCTTAATGTCACGATGAAGAAAGCCTCTTGAGTGCATATATTCCACACGGTTAACCTACAAAAAATAATCAAGAAAATATAAGGTTATGGCCACATACATTATGAAACAAAAAAAAAAAGAAAAAGAGGTGTCTGTTACTTTCTTTTATACAGTCTATAATTCATAATAACAAAAAGAAAAAGGCAGAACTATGAACTGACCATCTGATCAGCAAGCATGAGTACTGTTTTCAAGGAGAGCCTCCGATTGCAATAGTTAAACAAATCTTCAAGACTAGGCCCAAGAAGGTCAATGACCATCACATTGTACTCACCCTCCACACCAAACCACTTCAAGTGAGGAATTCCAGCTATTTCAAAATATAAAAAGCAAATAAATTATAAGTCGGAACGGAAATACACATGATAAGGATGTAAAAAGCAACTTACTTCCACCCTGGAGAACCATGTAAAGTTTTGATTCATAATGAAGCTGAGGATGCTTGGTTTTTACAGATTCCTACAAGTAATAATATAAATCGTAATTTGAAAGAATATTTAAGAACAGAAAAAAAAAAAAGAGCACCAAAACTAGGGAGCGTTTAATTAAAAATTACATTTTAGATTCAACCAGAAGCATTCTTTGAGTTGAACAATTCAGCAAGTGCATAAAAGCAAACACTTGGGACAATTTCTCTAGGCATATCAAAATTAGTAATTCCTCCAATTTTGATTAGCATGTACAAGGGTAATCTTTCAATACCCTCCTCATATAGATAATATTTTAATGAAATTATAACGACAGAACATCATCTGTCAAACCAATTAGTGAAGGCTTCTGTAAAAAAAATAATAATAATAACTCAAATCAACAGTGATATCTCCAACGTTTTCTAAGATGGTTACGCAACTGTTCAATGAAAACAAGAAAATCCAGAATAAAATGAAGACCAGAATCATTCAGGTCTGGATCTCCTCCTTGTTGGAAATATCCATTTAGAGTAAGTAAAGCAGTTTATGATTGAACATCTATTTGAAAATTGAAAGAATTTAAAATATTCACTATAATATCCAATGATCGACTATAATTCATTATGAAAAAGTAATAAAAATCCTTAGTAGACTTTAAAATACAATGACTGAAAAAGTTTACTATAAATCAAAGAAACTGATGAGAGATGGATGCACTTACCAGCTTGATGGCTACCTCTTCCCCACTCTGGATGTTGACACCTAAACAAAACAAACTACAAGTAAAATAGCCGATTCTGACCGGCAAAAGCGTGAAATAAAAGAAAAAAGTTAGTTAGTAAAGCAAAACTTTGACTGTTCAACATACCAAGATACAGTTCTCCAAAAGATCCGCTTCCAATCTTTCTTCCAAGCTTAAACTTTCCACCGATGGTATGATCCATGACAACAGCAGGATCAAGAACGTCCAAGAAAGAGCAGAAAATATCCAAGATAAACACTCACTCCCTAAACTATTGCAGCTTCAAGAGGAGGGATCCACCTTGATAAAAGATTCAAATACTTCAAACCCTCAAAATCAACACAAAAAGTTTCCAACTTTCTCCATTCACCGACGGCAGATCAACTCCAGAACCACATATTACGCAAAGCAAGCATTCACTTCGAAAACAAACACAAGCAGTGGATTCCCCAAGTTCCAAGATGCCAGAATTCGACTACGCTGAGAAGCCAACCTCAGGAAAATATTCACATTGCCGCGGAAAATCAGCCGAGCAAAAACCCGCCCAACGATCTAAAGCCGAAAAGCCAAAATCCCTCACTTTCCCCCTTGGCGGATCGATTCCAGCCCTAAAATAGGCAAAGAATGTTATCATTCGGCGCAAGTTGCGCCACTATGCGCAGCAACAAGAGTCAGATAAAAATACTCATCAGGTAGATAAACTCACGAAAGGATCAGCAAAAATTCCTCTCAATTCTCCCCCTCTCCCTTTGCCTCGGAGCCAAAACTGGAAGAAAACGGTGGAAATGGGAGGAATTTGGTTGAACGGTGAGCGATATCTACGATCTCAGAGGGCAAAAAGCTAACGTGAAATTGTTATTATTGGTAGAAAATAAAAAAATAATTTCATTTGATAATTAGGATAATAAATTTTTAATGATTATATAAATTAATATTTTATTTATTTTAAAATGCATTTTTAAGTCTATTATATTCTAATAATAGACTTGATTGATCTAATTTTTCTATGATATTTACAGTTTGAATGATAAAAAAATCAATTATTATTCTGAAAATTTTATTATTTTTTAATTAGAAAATAAAATAATTTTTCAAAATAATTTATATTTATAAAACTTTAGTTTCGTAATTATAATTTAAATATCATTCTTTAAAATGATTAAATTATTACAAAATTAGTAATTATGGGATGCTTCAATTAATGTCCTCAATCTTAAGAAATACTCTAAAGATTTGTTTTATAAGGTAAGTCATTACATTGGGGGTAATGCAATAAATCATCCTTGTTATATATTCTTAATTATAGCTTCTCCAAATTTAGTTCATATTTAATTACAACAATAAATACATTTTATTTTCTTACACAAATATATATCTTGTAAATAAAAGTATGGATATTTTATATCAAAATATTCTTATTTTAATATCATATATTTACAACTCATTATTTACGTATATACCACTTTAAAATTTTAAATAGATCATATCTAGTACTCCATTAAGCTCCACTTGTCTCTCTGTCGCCCTTCGATCTTTGTTTGTAGGAACCCTCTCATATGTCTCCAACCTTGCCTCCATCTACAGCTCGATCATCAATCCCTAAATCCCGGTCTAATAGAGTTTGGCTATTACGATTTCTCCCTCCCTATTGTTTTGATTTTATTTGAGCCCTTTTAGGGCTTGTGTTTCTAAAAAAAACTTATCAAGTACTTTTAGGATCTCAATCTACTATGGTTAATTGTTGCATGGATTGCGTATTAATTAACTTATTTTTCTCTTTCTCTACTAGTTTTTTTGTTAGAGATTCTTGATTATTTTACAAAAGTCGTTCACTGAATTAATATTATGATCAGTAATGTTAGTCCACGTTTTTTTTTTTAAAAAGTGATAAAGTATATATAACAACCCAAATTTTTAATTATCAAGGTATTGTCCGTTTTGGTCTAATTGCCTCACAGTTTTATCTCGTTTGTCTAACTTTCCGGAATGTCACACATCCTAAATTTTCTCTGGAAAAAGCATCGGTTAAATGTGGAGTCTCTTAATAAAATTTCAATCATTACACCAAACGATGCATCGATGTTTAAGAGTTTCACTTATTTCTACTTAAGGGATTTCACTGTATGTTTCGATGAACATAAGATGAAGTTTGGATTCTAATCACATCGATCCGCATAAGGGTATCAAATTCGGGTTGAACCCGGAAGTGACCCTGGTTCTAAAGGTTTGACTTGAACCCGACCTGATTTTGCAAACATGTCAAAAATACGAACCCGAACTTGACTCGAGGAAGCGACGTGGGCACACGAGGGAACGCGCAATCAAAAGTGGGCAGATTCTTTTCCTGGTCAATCCAAGTTTCCGGGTCAACCCAATTCCGACCCAATTTTTGAAACAATATGGTTTGTTGAACTCGAAACGACAAATAGGTTGACCATAACCCGAAATTTTAGAGTCGGTTTTCAGGTCATGTCAAATATTGACACCCCGTCCGCATATATATATACTCCCTTACCCTCCTTAATTACAATTCAAAAAGCACAATAGACTACAATCTTATTTGACAATATAATTAATCATCATTTAAAAAGACCATTGTAAAAATAATTTTCATAAAAAAAATAAATAAACAAAATATACACCAAATCAATCAAAATCTCTTGTCATACAAATACTCAGAGTAAACAATTCAAGGAAAATATTAAGTCAATTGTAATACGCAAAACTCCAATTAAAAATATAATTAAAAACCCCCTTCTTAATATTATATGAATATCATAAAAAAACATCAAATGAGAGTTGACCATAACTCAAATAAATCATAATTTCCCCCTTAATTAACTCCTTTTTGCACACTTTACCAAAAATTTAACATTTTGTAGTATAAATTTTAAAATAGATGAAATTTATGTAAATTGTAAAGTTAAAGATCACAGCAATATAAATATTAAAAGCGATATTTATATAGAATTGTATTAGCATTTTATTTACATGGGATTCGAATTTTTAAAATATAAATAATTTAAATAATACTTCAAAAATATTCTAAAGCAAGCAATAACAATTTAAACTATCTGAAATTCAAAGATAATTTTGTATTCAAACGGTTGACGACCACAATTTAAACTATTAAGGAGAAAATACGTAGCTTTTTTTTAAAAAAAATCTTTAATGCATAGAGTTTATTGTATTTGTTTACTGAAAAATTACTTTTGATATATCATCAAAAAAACTATCTTGATCGAGCACGAATCTCGAGGCTAAAATCGAGTTGGAAACTTCAAAAATTAAATTGGAGATCATCTGAACTCCGATTTCAGCAAACTTATAGTCAAATTGAATGTCTCAGAAATACAAACTCAACGACACCAAATTCAACTCAATCCGAGCTCAAATGGGTCAAAAATGAAAACTCGAAACATATTTGGAAGGTCAAACTATAATTTGGATTACCAAACGGTTTCCAAACGTGACATGCTTATAGTCAGATTGAGTGGCTCGACGAGACGTGTCCACAAGCCGAAGACCGTCAAATTTTGATATCATTAAGACATTCAAATATCCATTAAATGGTCCACGATCAAGGGATTTAACATCGGCCGTCCATTCAAACCACTCCAAATTAACCCTTGATCTTCCTCTTATCTACTGGTCATGCCACTCTTAAAAAACTATAAATAAATTCCTCATTTCTCATAGAAGGGGAACCCCCATGTGGGGAAGGAGACCCCAAGCAAAAAAGAGAAGAGAATGAAGCAAGGAAGCAAGAAGAGAAGAGAATGAAGCAAGGAAGCAAGGAAGTAAGAAGACAAGGAAGAAAAGTAAGAGAAGGAAGAGAATTCTCTCACCACTAGACTCCTCCTCTACCCGTCGCAAGATTTCTACCTGACGTCGGAGCTCTGCCCGTTGTCGGACTTTTGTCGGACTTCTACATGATGTCAGACTTTCGCCTGTCGCTGAATTTCTACTCGACGCCAGAGTTCTGCCCGTTGTTGGACTTTCATCGGACTTCTACCCAACGTCGAATTTCAGCCCGTCGCCGAATTTCTACCCGACGCTGGACTTTTGCCTGTCATTGGACTTATACTCTTCACCATATTTTCATCAGTCTTATATCTGACATCGTACTTCAATCTGTCATTGGATTTCTACCCAACGCCAGACTTCTGTCTGATGCCGGAGTTCTTCCTGCCGAATTTCCGCCCATCGTCGAAATTTTATCCGACGTCGGACTTCTGCCAGTCGCCAAATTTATGCCCATCACCAAATTTTCATTAGACTTCTACCCGACACCGGACTTCCGTCTGTCACCGAATTTCTACTCGACGGCGGACTTCTACCTGTCACTAAATTTCTAATCGACCGCCAACTGACTCCGTACTTTTACCTAGTAACTAACTAACGTCGAACTTCTTCCTGATTGCCAATTTATGTCGATTTTTCTGCATGGCCACCAACTAACGCCAACTTTTGCACGACCACTAATTGATGTCGAACCTTCATCACTTTTCGAGTAAGGTCCTTCTGACCTCCATCGCCCGCCGACTACAGTCCTTCTAACCTCTGTCGTCAGACAACGGTCCTTTCGACCTCCGTCGCTCGCCGACTACATTCTTTCTGAATGTTGCAGCCATACAACGGTCCTTCCGACCTTCGTCGCCCGCCGACTGTAGTCCTTCTAATCTCTGTTGCTATACAATGATCCTTTCAACCTCCGTCGCCCGCTGACTAATGTCCTTCTGGCCTTTGTCGCCAGACAATGGTCCTTTCGGCCTCCGTCGCCCGCCGACTACGATTCTTATAACGTTTGTAACCAGACAACGATTCTTTCGACCTTCGTCGCCCTCCGACTACAGTCCTTCCGACCTCCATCACCAGACAACAGTCTTTAGGACCTCCGTCGCCCGCTGATTGAACCTTCCAACAGCGCTTTGAGCCCTTGATTCGGACTCATTTGGGCTCGGATTAGGTTGATCTTGGTGTCGTTGGGTTCGTATTTCCGAGACACTCAGTTTGACTGTAAGCTCGCTGAAATCAGAGTTCGGGTGCTCCCAGAATTAATTTTTGAAGTTTCCCACTAGCTTTTGCCTCGAGATTCGTGCCCGATCAAGCTAATTTTGTGATGTCGTATCAAGTATAAACAGTAGGGGAGTAAGTGAGCCAAGCTGACTCACGAGCCAGCTTGAGCTTGACTCGTGAACAAGCTCGCGAGCCGAGCTTATGAAGCCACAAGCTCGAGTTTGAGCTTGATGAGGCTCGCGAGCCGACTCAAATCAGTTTAAATATTTTTTAAATAATTTTTATTTATTTATTAAATTTAAAAATCTCGCCTCTATTATTAAAAATCCCGCATGCGATTTTGAAATTCTCGATAGTGAATTCATAGAACAAGGCAGACCACACGTGTGTAAGCCTGTTGGAGCTTGGAAGCTCGCTCATTCTTGGAATGAGGCGGACCACTCCCTTGTGAATTCGAGGAATGGACAACCGCGAAGGCTCGTTCGTTTGCGGAAGGAGGCTCAAAACTTCAAAGTCTCGTGAACGGCTTGAACTCGTTTACAGTGGGACAAGCCGAGTTCGAGTCCACCTTTTGAGCTTAACTTGAGCTTAAACTCGAATTCAAGCTAACTTTCCGAAAAGCCGAGTTCGATAAGACCACTGCTCAACTCAACTCGACTTGTTTACACCACTAATAAATCAGTCAAGTTTTGGAGAGTGTTTGGCCTCTCAATTAATATTTTGAAATTTTCAAATATGTGTTGAATACTTGAATTAGGTTTATTTGGACTCAAATCAAATCACTTTTGGTGTCACTCGATTTGTCTTATCAAGATATTCAATTCTGGGTATAAGCTTGTTGAAATTGGACTTGGGATGATTATGAATTTAATTTCAAAAATTTCAATTTAAATATTTTCTCAAGATTCGTGCTGATCAAGTGAATATTTTTAGAGATGTGTCAAAATTGAAAACAATTATAAACAAAATTATATGAAAAGACTTATCGGGTACAACTTAAATTATTGTAAAAGAAAGATATAGAGTGGAATATTAATTTAAATGTTATATTTTTAATATATGAAAGTCAACAGTACTTTTGTATAAGATAATATATTTACTTGAATGATAAAAAACTTTGATATTACAAGCAATTAATTGTTTATTAGTAGGATTTTTTTTCCAGGAATTTTGATTTTATTTGCCCTCTAAAAGTGAAAATTGATGCAACGATAGAGTTTAGGCAAACATTGGTCATGTGGCGGCGGTTCGACAACAAAGGTCAAGTGGCGGCGGTTCAATGGCAAAGGTCGAATAGCGGCAATCCGATAACAAATGTCGGGTAATAGTAGTTCCACGATAGAGGTCAATCAGAGGCAATGTTTATTTGAATATGATTCGTCGAGGATGGCTCAATGATGGCGGACAGGCTGTGGCCTGATTGTGGCGATCAATTAAAGAATTCTTCAAGCCATGAAGCTGTCACACCCTAAATTCAGAAGGCGGTGCACATGCAATGCGGGACGCGAAGGAATGTTTATTTTATAGTCACAATAATAAAGATGCTTATAAAGTAATATAAGCATAAATTGGTATTAGAGTAATATACTAGCCAATAGATTGGAATTAAGTGCTCTTATCTGCATGGTGGATAATTATGGGCTAAGAAAACTAACGAGGACGTTAGTATCAAAACGAGGGAGATTGTAAAACTCTTTACGAGAACAAAACTAAACTTTTAAGCATCGATGCACCTTTTGATGCAATGATTGGAGTTTCATTAGAAACTCCAAAATTAACCGCGCTTGCATAGAAGCACTCCTAGAATAGGTGACTTACTAGAAAGTTATACCAACAAGAGAAGACATGAGACAATTAAGTTAAAATGAATAATATCTCAATAGTTGAGAGTTTAAATTTTTACGTAAGTACTCTTAAATCTCAAGCCAATAGTTCTCTTCATATTATAGAGGTATATTTATAATTTTAGGCATTGACATACTTTGTAAATATAGTCAAAATCTGGAACACTATTAGATGGCCAATATTAATTCTCTTTGATACGTCATCTCAAAATTATCTTCATCGGGTACGAATCTCGAGACAAAAGCTAGTTAGAAACTTAAAAAATTAATTTCGGGAGCGTATGAACTCCAATTTCAGCGATCTTACAGTCAAACTGAGCGTCTCGGAAATACGAACCCAACGACACCAAGATCAACCTAATCCGAGCCCAAATGAATCCGAATCAAGTGTTCAAAGCGCTGCTGGAAGGTTCAAACCGCAATTTGAGTTACCAAACGGTCTCCGGTTTTGACGAGCTTATACTCGAATCGAACGGCTCGACGAGAAGAATCCAACGAGCCCAAGATCATCGAATTATGACGTCATTAAGGCTTTCAAATGTCCAACGAACTGTGCATGATCAAAGGATTCGATATCGGCCGTCCATTCAAACCACTCCCAATTCGCCCCTGATTTCACGACTATTTACGGGCTATGCCACTCCAGAAAAACTATAAATAGAGCCATCATTCTACACCAAAGGGACTCAAGTGAAGAGAGAGAAGAAGAAGAGAAGGAGAAGGAGAAAGGGGAATAGGAGATTCCTCACCTCCTCGACCACCGCCGCCGGAGTTTTTCCTGCCGCCTGAAGACGCCGGAACTCTGCCGGATTTTCAGAAAACACAGGGAATTCGCAGGATCTTGTGAATTTCGTGGAAGAGACAAGTTGTATTTGGATTATCCCGACTTGTGGGAAGAAATCCGCCATTTGTAATCTACG